TTCAACAGAACAGACAAAGACAGAACTTTATGAATGAAATGGCTGAGTCACAGGGTAACGCTGTGTTTAGCCATGTAGCAGCATAGGAAGGTGTCTATTTGTCCCCATTCCCAAGTAACGTTTGGTATGGTTCACTTTTGTATAACAATCATTCTAGCAGGTGTGAGTGGTATCTAATTATGGCTTTTCTCTGTATTTCATACACTTACTGGTCATTTGGAGATCTTCTTCGAAGATGGATCTGTTCAAATCCTTTGCACATTTAAAAAATGGTTCATTGTCGTTAGTCTGTTTTGTGCTGCTGTAACATCTACCGAATATTGACTCACTTATAAAAATTTTCTCACTGGGTCCTGCATGATGGCCTAATTAGGCTGAAACCCTCACCTTGCATGTGCTGGGATCCTATGTTGGTACTAGTTCATATCCTGGCAACTCCACTGCCCATCCAGCTCCCTGCTTGTGGCTTGTGAAAGCAGTCAAGAATGGCCCGAAGCCTTGGGACCCTGCACCCACGTTGGAGACCCAGCAGAAGCTCCTGGCTCATGGCTTCAGATCTGCTCAACTCTGGCCATTGCAGCCACTTTGGGAGTGAATCAGCAGATGAAAGAGCTTCCTCTTTGCCTTTCCTCTGTATATCTGCTTTTGCAGTAAGAATAAATAAATCTTTAAACATTTTTTTTTCTCACTGGAGGCTAGAAGTTCAAGGTTGAGGGGTTCACATCTGGGCGGTCCTTCTTGTGTCAATCCATGGTGCAAGGCAGAAGGATAAGAAAATCTGAATGCACATGAGTGTGGGGACTGGGAGAGGGAGAGAAAGGAAATGGGGGAAGTCACCCTTTTATCAGAAGCGTGGAGACTGTATTAATCCATGCATGAGGGCTGGTATCCTTATGAACTTATCACTTCTTAGATGTCCTACCTTGGAAATAAATGTCCTACCCCTCCTGTAGTGGGGATTAACTTTCTTTTCTTTCTTTTCTTTTTTTTTTTTGTAAAAAGATTTATTTATTTTTATTGCAAGGTCAGATATACAGAAAGGAAGAGAGACAGAGAGGAAGATCTTTCTGATGAATCACTCCCCAAGTGAGCCGCAATGGTCGGTGCTGTGCCAATCCATAGCCGGGAACCAGGAACTTCTTCTGGGTCTCCCACATGGGTGCAGGGTCCCAAGGCTTTGGGCTGTCCTTGACTGCTTTCCCAGGCTACAGGCAGGAAGCTGAATGGGAAGTGAAACTGCCAGGATTAGAACTGGTGCCCATATGGGATCCTGGTGCGTTCAAGGCGAAGACTTTACCCACTAGGCCACCATGCTGGGCCCAGGGATTAAGTTTCTAACACATAAATTTTGGGAGATACATTCAAATCCTATCACTCATATATATATATATTTTACTACTGAGTATCTCCTGGTTAACTTTATTTTTAAAGTTGACTACTTAAACTTTTTTTTTTTAAATTTTAAAATTTGTGTATTTGAGAGTCAGAGAACTAGAGTTCCCACACACTGACTTACCCTTAAAAATGCTCAGCACCAGGAGTGGGGAATTCAGTTCAGGTTTCCTGGGTGGGTGGTGGGGAGCTAGCAATGAATATGGCCCCAGGCACTCGGGTGCGGGGATGTGGACTTCACTGCCACTCTCACAGCCACTGAGATGAATGGCTGCTCCAATCTTCTCCGTTATGTCCTAATCAGCCTCACTTTCAGGGAAGGCATTTTTTTCTCAAGGAAGCTTTTCTGCGTCTCCCTTTATGGTTAGTGTGATTATTTGTTTATATTTCTCCCTGGTAGCTTGTAAGTTCAGAGTAGACCATTATATCTGTTGTGCTTAGAATAAACTAAGAACTCAGTATCTGTTGCATCAATAGAGGTTTCTCCCTTTAGTGAAGGGTAACTGTGCTGTGTAGGTATAGTTGCAAGCACTAGATGAGACTGATAGCTCTTTTAGCCCGCATGGCTCCACCTTTTCTCTATCATTATACCATTAAAAACTTTGTTAAGGGCTCAGTGCCATGGCCTGGCAGCTAAAGTCCTCGCCTTGAGCACATCGGGATGGGGTCCCATATGGGCATCAGTTCTAGTCTTGGCAGCCCCGCTTCCCATGCAGCTCCCTGCTTGTGGCCTGGGAAAACAATCAAGGACGGCCCAAAGCTTTAGGACTCTGCACCCGTGTGGGAGACCTGGAGGAAGCTCCTGGCTTCGGATTGGGATGCACCAGCCATGATGGTCACTTGGAGAGTGAATGATTGGACGGAAGATCTTCCCCCCCCTCTCTCTCCTCCTCTCTGTATATCTGACTTTGCAATAAAAATAAATAAATTTTTACAAAAAAAAATGACTTTGTTAAATGACAGGTGAGAAAAAAAAAAGTAAATTTGGGGTCGGTATAGTGGTATAACAGGATAATCCTCCAGCTGTGGTGCTAGCATATCTATATGGTGCCTGTTGGTATCTGGCTGTTCCACTTCCTATCCAGTTCCTTGCTTGTAGCCTGGGAAAGCAGTATAGCATGGCACAAAGCCTTGTGACACTGCTCCCACATGGGAGACCCTGGCTTCTGGCTTCAGATCAGTTCAGCTCTGGCTGTTGTAGCCATTTGGGGAATGAATCAGCAAATGGAAGATATTTCTTTCTATTTTCTCCTTCTCTGTGTAAAATTGTCTTTCAAATAAAAATAAATAAATATTAAAAATAAGGCAAAGACAACCTGAGACCAGGTTCTGTGTCCTCTGCATCAGTTAGACTAAGGTTCCCTGCCAGGAATAGCAACCAAATGAAAATAACTGAGGAATGACAGCATTCAGGAAATTTTCCCAAAGCATAGGTGTGGGTTCTTAATGCAGCAGTGTTGCTGGAGCTGCTGGGTTTCCTCCACTCTGCCTTCGTTAGCGTGTGATGATGTCTTTCCAATGATTATAGACTGATCAATGCAAGGAGGGAGGAAAAAGGCTCTCTTCTTTATCAGGGTAAGGCATTTTTTTCCAGAAGGTACTCTCAGCATATTATTGGCATGTCACTAGGCAGGATTAAGTTAACAGAATTTAATTATGGGAGAGGTTAGTAAATATAGGTCTTGAAGCCACTAGATTCCTTCTCAAGGGCAGGGATGTTGGCTTTGAAAGCAGTCAAGTTTGTGTTAGTAAGGAAGAAAGGGAGATGGTGACTGTATGGACGCCAGGAGGGCTCACCAGATGTCTTTATTCCCTTCTCTTTGCTCTTTCATGGCACTTTTAGGATTTTAACTATTGCATACCTGCTGCTATCTTCCAGTCTACTGCTAGTCTTAATTTCTCCTGAGTTTCATTATCAAATGCCCATTTTGCTTTTACACTTGGAAATGTTATAGTAGATAAAATATATGTTAAAAATTATATTCTTCATACTTCACTATTTCTACCGAACCTACTAATTAAGACTTATCCAGTCTTCCCCCCCAAATTTAACATATTTTTGTATCCATGTGTTCAAAATTGATTGATTGATTGCTTTTTAAAATTTTATTTGGGAGAAACTCCCATCTTTTGGCTCATTGCCCGAAAGTCTTTGGTAGTCAGGAGGCTAAATCTGGGAACCAGGGACTTGATCCAGGTTTCCGTGCATTTTGCAGGAATCCAATTGTTTGACTATCTTGAGCTGCATCCTTTGCCTTCCACATTTTGTGTTATAGGAAACTTGGGCAGAAGTTTGAGTCTGACATTGAACCCAGACACTGGGATATGGGATATGGGCATCTTAATCTGTGTGTTGATCATTAGGTTGGATACTTGTTTCCATTAGTTTTTTTTTTTAACATAGTATTCTGTGTGTGTTTGTGTGTATGCATAAACATACATGGTGTGTATGTGTAACATGAGCTTTAATTGAATCTGAGAATATTATCTTTAAAATACTATTCATACATGTCGGGAGCTAGCAAAGAGGAAAGAAAAACTAAAAAGCCTTGGCATAGTTTTGTAAAGTAAAGTATGTTTATATGGGTTTTACCAGATGACCATAATTATCATGCATTAATATAATGATAGAAACAACACAACGATGAAGACAGCATATAATTACATATCAGGTCAATTTTTTGAAGTTTATTTAATTTTGATTGGTAGTAATAAGACAATGCTTTTTATTGATAATGAAGTAACATTATGGTTTGATCACAATTTTTAGAAATGAGAAGAAGCACTGATTATATTCTATTCCAGAAAGGAAACTTTGGGTACCATGGTTGCCAAAGTTCAGTTCATCTAATTTTAGTTAGTAAGACTTGACTGCAGGTAGAACAGTAACAGAAAAATGTGAAAATAAGTTTAAGGGCAGGAGAATGAAATATTTACCCAGTTATCAGCTCAAATAAGCAAATAAATTAAAAATAACTTATTATCATATGTACAGGGGTCTCGAGGCTTAGAGATGAGACGTTCTTGGAAATGTATGAAGCACAACAGATTCATTCAACATGGAAAACACTGCTTACTGTTGTTGAGGTTTCCTACTCAGATTCTGTAACAAGCTGCCATAAATATCACCATATATTATTATGTTAAATACATTTATAAATACATATACATAAATAACTTAAAAATAACATTACATGTTTTTCTTTTTTTTTTTTTTCCTTGAAGCTCAGCTTCAAACAGTATTTTAACAAAATGACCTATTGGTTGACATGAAGAGCCATTGAGGCAAGAAGGATGTAGGCCTTATTTATTTCTGCTGTTTTGAAAATAATAACTGAGGTCCTGAAAACTTAACTGTTTGATTAAGGATCAAAGCAGAAGGAAAAGTGTTTGAAGGATATGCTGGGTCTGTAGCTTCTCATTCTAACTGCTATTAAATGCATCTGTTAGTTACACTAAGCCTTAGCTAATCCATCTGTGATATGCTTAGTCTTTTTTTTTTTTTTTGGCTGCCATAGTCAGTAGCCTTAGCCCTGCTCAGATTGTTGTGAAGAATAGTAATTAAAATGATTGCTACTGTGCAAAGTATAGGGTGTTCTTTCAACAACAAACAGCATGATATGTTAGTGTTGATTTCATTTAACTTGACACCTCTTTTACAAAGAGGGGAAGCATTCATTTAGAATTACACAGGCTCAGCACGTGCTCAGCAAATGACTAAGAGTGAGGAATTCAACTTCATGTACATGGTACATACAGATGGTCAACGCTTCACTAGTGAGTGGCTTTCCAGAGTCACGAATGTTTTTCTGAGATCAGAAAGTCAACCATCGAGGGAAGCCCCTTTGCCATGTGCACCAAATGTTCTGATTTTGTGGCAATAAACAGCTCTGGGTTGGCAGCCGACTTGAAGTATTGCTTAGAGTTTTGAGATTCCCATAAGAAGAGGAGATCAAGCTTACTGTCGGTGATGTCTTTGGGTGTCTCAGGCAACTCCTGTGTTAGAGAATAGAAAGCAGTTAGAGCTTAAGGACATTGTAGAAAAAGGACCTTCCAGCATTTGCTCTTTGTTAGACACAGCACTTTAATATCATGACTGTGATAGGATGGTGAACTAGGCTCTTCATTCATTTGTTGACTCATTAGACATTTATTATCACATGTCTGTTAGATGTATGGCTCAGTCCGTTTCTAAGAGTTGATTTTTCTAGAAAAATCTCAAACAGTCATGACAACTGCTAGCAGCACTAGTCTCACTCTATCCAGATAGGTAGGGGTGAAACAGTTTATGTCTCAGCTTCAACATAGGCATGTTATTTTTTGCATTAAATAGGAGCATTGGAGATTCTAAGACCACTTGGCATTTTGCTTGCTAAGTGTACAAATCATATCATTTGGAAAGCAATTTAGCATTTAGAGGACATTTATACCTATATTTTAGTTAATAGTTGAAGGTTAAACACACATGTACACATGCTAACTCTTCTCGTGTGTTAGTTACTGAACTCCTTCAGTATAGTCTCTTTAGATTGTACTTTTCCTGTGAGTGTGGATGGAATCTAACAATGCTTTAATGGAAAATTCCATTTCAAATTCCAAATTCAGATGTCTCTGTCCTTTTTTTTTTAATCCGAAGCAAGCAAATATCATTTTGAAGCTTGTTTGGAGTTTTCTATGTCAGGAAGAATTTTATTTCCCAAACTTCTCTCTCACCTAGATATTTCCATCTCAGTAAATGGAGCAACTCCTTTGCTCCTGTTGCCCTATTTCCTAAGACAACCCAACTTCTATTTCTCTTTGCCTGTTTTCCTTACCCTGTCCACATGACTTCTAATTAGGCTTTCTGCTTTCTTCATTGTTTTCCTTCTGGTATGTTCTCATTTAAGGAAATCAAGTGAGGTCAAGATATTGTACTGTCTGAAGCCTTTAGAGGCTTTCATTGTACTTCAAAGGAAATCCAAAGCCAAGCTCTGCAGCTTCAGAATATCTCACTTCTCATGAAGCCCCAGTTAAAGCAGTGCCCCCTCTGATCCTTGAAGTGGCCTTTGCACTCTTGATATTATTCTATTTAGAATGCCTTCCTGCCCATGGCTTCGTATTGCCCGACCCTGCTTAGCGTCAGCTATCGTCTCATAGGGAGCTGTGTTCTTGCCAGTCAGTCTAAACATTATTTCTCACTTTTCTCTTTCAGCACTTTCTTTTTTGGAAACAGCATCTTAATATATTTTTTTGTTGATTGGCATTTCCATTGTCTCTGTCCATCAGAAAGCTAAGTCTTAAAGTCCAGAAACTTTAACTATATCTGTCTGCATAGTGATGGGCACTGTGCTTGAAAAATAGCATTCAATGGCATTCAATATGTAATGCTTGCTGGGTGAATTTATGAGTAAAACTACTGCCCTACTCTGTAAATATCACTTTCATTTTACTTGCCCTGGAGAGAGAAACTTGTATGCCATGTAAATTCCAGTTGGGGATAAGAGGCTTTGCATGCATGATACACTTACTGAATAAGTCGCCTACTTATTAGAGGAGAAAGTAGCTAGCACTATTTTGGGCATGCTTGTGTGTATCTGTGAGTTTGAAAGGGAAAGTGGTACTGGAGATGGGGCTGAGTAATGCTGGCACCAATAAAAGGGGAGAGGTACTGGAGTGAGAAGGCCAGAGTGGAAATCATGACACCCAGCTTTTTACGTTGTGCCAATTGGCCAGTGATTAATCCTCCTGATACCAGTTGGGCTTCTCTGAGATTTTGGAGGAAAGCTCCATTGACATAGTACCCAGTAAGGCATAGAAGATGTCACTGAAGATGAATGGAATGAATGGATATCCAGGAATGGGTAAACAAGGGTCAGGTAAGAAAGGGAAAGGGAAGAAAACAGTTTTCCTTGTATTTACTCTTGCCCCCTCCATTGTCCCCTTTCACAGATTCTGCCTAGGATTGCCTCTGAGGATTAGAGATAAATCCAATGGGGTGTCATGATCTGGTGGGGACTCTGGTAGGAAAGGAAGAGAAGTGTGTCACATTTTGGGATCATTTATAAATGTGTGAGATGTAAATGAGAGTAAGTTGGAGGCTTAGAACAACTGACCTTCAGTAACACAGGTTCATTTTCGCTCTGGGCACTCACGAACAGTCGAGTGTTTGAGATTCTTAAAGTTACAGGAATTGTGGAATCTGCTGAGTCTGTCCTGTACATCTCCATGTCAAATAACGCTGAAGAAGAGAAAGAACCAAAAAGTAAGTTCATTGTGAAGGTGTAAAATTAGAGTTTATTATAGTGTGTGTGTGTGTGTAGTTAGGTTCTCAACTACAGTTTTCATTAAGTCAGTAGTGCAATTCTTTGTATCCTTACATTTACCAGGAAGGTAAATGCCAGGTTAATATTTTAAACATTTTTCTGTGTTAAATATTGAATGTTTGGGGGCTGTATAAACATTTGTCTGATCTCTTGTAATCACATTAGTGGAGTGAGATTCTACACTGTGATAAGCCATGAGATCATAATGACCTAAAATGGAGTCCAGGAAGTTGATACGTGTAAATGTAGCTCAGTTGTCTTTAGAGAACAATTTTTAATAGAAATTGTGAAATTACTGTTGTCTATTGATCTGTAAGTTTTGTTTGGGAATATGCTCCAATGAAATAGCCTGATGCAGGGAGAAGCAACAAAGATACACAAAGATGTTTGCCACAGAGCTACTGAGGGTAAACTCACAGGACCAACACAGCAAAATGGTCAAGTCTTTTAGCCATTAAAAATGGCTAATGGTGTGAAAGAATATTATTATTAAGTAGGATATAGAACATAAATTATTTGTAATAGCATGGAAATGCATGGAAAGCAAGGGAAGCACATACAAAATGAGGAGTACTACTGATCTAGTGTAAGCTGCATCTTTGAACATAGTTCTGTATACTGATGATATATCCTGAAACTAAAATATAACCCATAAGAAAGATTGGACCTGTGTGATAAAATCTTCTGGATGCTAAGACTTGATTCTTTAGATCATATTTGTTAGCTTAATGTCTCTTTTACTGCACAACCAATTTGCTACTCATTATAAGTTTGATCAACAGGCTTTCTCTAATGAACAGGGATTCTTCTCATTGGCTTTTGGATATATTTGAGTAAGTATTTAGTATATCTGAGAGTCAGCCTCCCTGTCTTTAAAATAGGGACAAGAAAATCCCAAAGCACCAGCTTTATACTCTATGCTTTCAAAGATAGGAAGTCTCTCTTGTGTATCATTCAGATTTGGCTGAAACTTCTGTCTTTGGGTGGTGCTGAGAATGATGTGTCTTATCCTATCCTAGAAAAGTTGTATCAAGTTGGGACCTAGGTTTACTTTCTGAGAGTAGAAAACTGGAAAGAAAGAAGCAGAAGGAAAAGAAGCAGAAAGAAGAGGCAAGGGTGACAGACCTGGCTGTTTACCTGCATCGTCCATGTTCTGTAGTGCTGCTGCTCTGAGGTACTGATCAGAGTTGTCCCGAATTAAGATTTGGTTGAGGGGATCAGCCAGGGTAAACTCTTGTTTGATAGTCTTCAAATATTTGTAATATCCCTTACTCTGGTGGCTGTAAGGTGCCGATGCAGACACGATGATTTCTAAAGCCATCACCACAAATTCAGATTAGCATGTAGGTACTATCAGAGATGATATACTCTCATACAAGCACAGCACGCAGCTCTGGGAGGGACATTGGGAGCCTTCCAATCCAAGTAAGGAAATATGGGGAAGGAGATCAACCAGCCAGGGAGGGGATCGATTCTAAGGTTATCTTGTGATTATTTATTTGCTTTTGTTTTTCTCGAACTTTGATCTCTCAGGTGATATTTTTTCCTCAAAAAAGAGTATTTGTAACTTTCTCACTTTTATTTGGAATTTCTACGTGACCAAGACAACTATCAGTCCCCTCATCTTTATTTCCAAATGTGTGCACTGTGAGGCAAAAATGAGTACATTGAACATTCTGTGTCCCTGATGGCTCAGGTTTGCCTCCTTTCTGGAAGGTGGTATGTATCAATAGCTTACCAAATCCTCATGGATCAGAGTAATTCTACTTCCTGCACTCCATTTGAAGAAACAAATGGTAGTAGACCTGAAGATTTGTTGATATACACTCTCAAATATCCTTGATAAACAGTTAAATAAAAGAGTTGGACATCAAATTGGCTAAGTTTATCCCTAATACCATTAAATATTTTTGTCCCAGAACACACAGAAAATACTTCAAGGAAGCGTATCATAAAGTTGGCATTGACAATGTGACCTTCTTTTACTTTCCTTCTGAAATTGTCTTGTATTTTAAAGTCTTTCAGAGGCATATGTACTATTTAGATGTTATCTTGAAAAACAGGGCTACTTGGTTTAAATTTAATGTAGAGGTTCCTTAGAGTAAAGACTTGGAAGAAAAACCATGGTTTCTATAGCCGGGTACAGCCAAAGTAGTTTTGGGGCTCTCTACTTTGTGCACTCTGTCTTTGCCAAGTTTAAAGTTAGTGGGCTTACCTTCCTCATATGCAAAGGCACTACAAAAAGTTTATGGAAAAATGGAACTAATAAGTGGAGTTTATTTTGGCACAAAGGTTTTTGGAATGCACAGATAGTTTTTTTTAAAGCATAATCTGTGTTTTCCACAAACTTTTTGAAGAACCCTTATATGTATGGGTTTCAAAGGTTTCTTTTCTTCCCACCAAAGTAAACTTATCTTTTCATTCCATTTTCTATGAACTCTTTGAAACATCCTTATATAACATGAGCCTATACGGTTATTCTGAGGCTTAGAAATAGCACAGACATCAATAAATCAATAGTACTGGTAGTATTAATAAATATAGTAGTATCAATCAAAATAACATAACATTTAATGGGTGCTTACTATATACAAGTAGTACAAAAGATTGGAAATATTGGCCCATTTATTGCTTATAGTAACGATTATGCAGGGACCCCCATCTCCATTTTTTCAGTAGAGAAAATTGAAGCGCAGAAAGATTAAGTAACATGCCTAAAGAGGCATGGCTATCAAGCAGATGAATAATCTTGTAAGTGGCCATTCTCTAGGAGTATATAACTACTTTCTCCTGAGCAGCTAAAAGTCAAACAACCTTTAAAGGATGTCCAGAGAACGAGTACAGGAGCAAGTTTGTAGACTCTGGTTATTTCTAATCTCTTGTTGATAGAGAAGGATAAAACTAATTTCCTGGGGCCAGTGCAATGGCTCAATTGGCTAATCTGCTACCTACAAATGCCAGCAGCCATATGGGTGCTGGTTCTAGTCTCAGCCCTCCCACTTCCCATTCAGCTTCCTACTTGTGGAATGCGAAAGCAGTCAAGGATGGCCCAAAGCCTTGGGATCCTGGACCCATGTGGGAGATCTGGAAGAAGCTCCTGGCTCCTGGCTTTGGATAAGCTCAGCTCTGGCTGTTGCAGCCATTTCGGGAGTGAAGCAGCAGATGGAAGGTCATTTTTTTTCTGTCTCTTGTTCTCTCTGTAAATCTGCTTTTCCAATAAAAATAAATATATATTTTAAAAAACCCACTAATTTTCTTTTCTTACAGTCACTAGACTATTAATGTCTGGCTAGCCTCTTGTTATCTTGACACCAGGTTTCATTTGCTCCTATTCTCAATTGCCTCTTTCACTGAAAACTTCACCCCTTACCTTCTTCTGGATCACTGGCAATGGTCTCCAGATCATCACCAGTGATGGACTGGTTTAAACTCAGGCGCCTCTTCTTCAAAATATTCCCATTGGGTGCCACTACCACCACACTCTCCTTGTAGGTAAGGTGGGATGACACAGAGGTCTCAGAGGTATTCCGAGATGCTGTATTCACACAGTCCTTATGAAGTTGGCCATAGCTTACATCGTAGAAAGATTTCTGTGTGGAAGGCAAATGCAAAGTGAGAAAAGAGATCTTTTTGGCAGACTTAGAAATATTTCCATTTTGATCTTGGGTAACCTATGTTTCACCAGTCTTCCCACTTCCTTCCTCCTTTTTTCTTTAGGTTTTTCTCTGAAAGGATGCAGTTTGTTGGAAAGTTTGTTTCTCTGTTGGCTATGAGATAGTTGGTTTATGAGATAGTATAAAAAAGCAATTTGACAAATAACCTGAGGGGATGGTAAATAGCATTCTTCCTCAGGAGGTTAAATGTCTGCTTGGCAGTGATCAAAATTACATAAAAAATACAGTATTCCTCTATATCCTTGGGTTTCACAGACATGGGTTAACCCAACTGAAAATTCCCCTCAAAGATTGTATCTCTATTGAACATATATAGGAATTTTTCCTTATCACTCTCCCCTGAACAATGAATTGTTAACATTTGCTCATACAACATTTACATCATATTAGGTATTATAACCTTGAGGTGATTAAAAAGACATGTGAAGATATGTATGGATTCTGTGTAAATATAATGCTGCCATTCATGCAAGATTTTGGTATTCATAGTGCATGGGGTGAAGTGGATGGTGTTCCTGGAGCACTCAAAGAGACGACCATGTAGCTTGGGGAAGAGCTCTTAATGCCAATCCTACAGATGCATGTCATAGTACCTATATGTCTATTTGTAGTCTCCCAGTAAACTAGTACACCTGGGTGAGTGGCTGCCAATTGCTTATTGTCACTTGGCGTATTTCCTCCACCTTATCTTCATGGGCTAGTATGATTGGAGAGCTACCTCACTATTCATGCTGGTGTCAGAGAGAACCATGACAACACGTCATGTTAGGATCAGTCTGAAGGGCTGCCTCACATACGATAGCCAACATCCTGTTGAGATTTCAGTTCCCAGGGTTTTGGGACCGTTTTGAACTGGGAAAAGCTAGTGGACATGAAGAGTGTCACCAATTGCCTGTGTATGGAGAAGTTGATCTCTGTGGTGATGAAGAAATGGAGGTCTTATGACCTTTGGTGAGGGGAAAACAAAAAACATCTAAGATTCAAGCTACTGCTCGCCTGTTCTAGTGGAGAAACTATAAAATCAGTATAAAACCAGCAGTCCCTTAAGAATTACTGTCATTTTCTTACCTGATTCAAAGAGGAATCATCACTAGCATAGCTGTCTTCTTCATTTTCACTGTCAAAAATAAAATGATGGATATGTAATTCTGTTCATTATTTATTTCACTGTTGTTACTGGGCATCATATTTTAAAAAGCACATTGACTTTGGGTAACATACACATATATACACACACACATTATTGTCATCTGTGGGAATTAAGAACACACATATTTTTGTATCATAATTCATACCTCACTCATTTGGAATTAGTAACTAGTAACTAATTGGAATCATTAGAACAACCTTTGAACTTCTCCTGGGCTTTATAATTAGAAAACTGGGCTTGGCTAACAAAGAGTCCGAATTGAATTTCAGGGAAACCTGTTAAACTCTTTAAGAGCAAAACAATGCTTGGAAAGTACCTCATTTTTTCTTTAGCCAAATAGATCTTCTGATACACTTTACTTTTGATACGTTTACACATGGCAAAATACCAAGGCAAGACTTCGATCATCTAGCTCATGCTAGGATTTATCATAGGTGATGGGAACACCACGTTAGTTTGAAGTGTTCCTTCATTTTAACCGTCTGCTTATTATTTTCTGTGTGTGGTGGGGCTGGCTGGTGAAGCAGCCCTCACAGGCTCAAGTCACCGAAGAGCCATTTCCTCCTCCAGACTGAGATGGAATTTTCCTGAGAATGGATTCTCTCTCAGGCACCTGTCAAAGCCCGTGACTGTGTCCATGCAGATGCTGAAATTCATACAGGAGTGAATCCGGCTCCAAAATAACTTTTCTGCAATAGATGTCTTCTCAGGTCTTTCCCGACCTGCCCCTCTTCTGGGTCTAGAATGTGTCTCTGTGGCTTCTATTAGCCTGGTTCTGCACTAGTTACCACAACTCCCAGCTGGTATCAAACAAGCCTTAAACCCCTCATTAAATCACCAGAGATAGAATCTGTTTCTTACCTGAAACAGTTCATCAGGTCTTCAAAGAGATCAGGAACTTTGGCCATCTTGATTTCTGCAACAGAGAATACAAACGGTGGTTAGTTCTGTTGGTCTCTGTACCAGATGCCTGTCAAGGGATGGGGCACTCCTGCTGTGTGTTTCCTGAGACCCTACATTGAATGGTAGCTCCCACACAGGGTTTCCCCCATCCTTTTTGCTCCTGTGAATTATTTGTAAATGCATCTGCCTCTACTATTGTACACTTCTTTTAGAATGTTTTATTTATCTTGGTATTCTGTATGTCCCCAACACAGCCACACAGTATACTTCACAGAATAGGCAAAATAGTTGTTAGTGGTAAAATAGTTTTTAGTGGTAGAGATTTCTTTCCATGTTCTGTGGATATACTGATAGGAACCCAATTCTGCTCTCCTTTTGTTCCTCGTCAGTCAAACCACACAGTCATTTTCTAGTACCTGACTGTGGTTCTAGCTTACACACCAAACCATGAGAGGAAAAAAAAAAAGGAAGAGGCGATGGTTTTAGAGAAGGCAGTTTTAGAGTATCCAGCCAAGGAGAAAAACAGAAAAAAAAGAATCTTAAAAGCCAGAGATGTCATAAGAACAATACCTTTGCTGACCGAAGCGCCAATGAACTGACTCCTTCTCTAAGCTTGAGTCAGGCTTCTTTGCCTTTTTATAATTGTCCTCTTAGGTGGGCGTGGCCTCAATGAGTCATGGGAATTTACAGGGAAGAATTCTGTGTTTCTCTCTGTTCATTCAAAGACTAGATACGTTGCAATACCATTAACTGCAAAGAATCCAGCTTTTGATTAGGTTTATTTAATACCTTGCAGTTTATGTGTGTGTAAGCTTTATCTAAGGGAAGAACAAAAAGTTATCAAGTTTCTGAAAATGTATGTGGGAGGAGGAAGGGAGAAAATCGCAAATCAGAGAGTTGGAGAGGAGCCTAGCAGCTGTGCTTGGTGTTTTGTTTTGCTTTATTTACAGTACCCAAGAGCTGAGTGTGGTTGGTGGAACACTTGGCAGCTGAGTGAAGAAGGGGTGGTGTTTGTGGGACAATGAGCCATTTTTTTGTTTGTTTTTTAAAGAGAGGTTTGCTTGAATTAGGTATACATAAAACTCAGTTTGGGACAGCACTCTACTGGCAGGAATGGATAGAGGACCAGAAAAGCAATTGGCCACACACGTTTTGTTCTCTTAATCCTCTGAAGGTTGTTTTTTTCTCTCTCTGTGTTATATAAAATTTTTTCTAGCAGAGGTGATAGGGATTCAGGAGAAAAATTTGAGCCCTAAGTAAGTTAGATTAAAGTGACTTCTACCAGAACCCAGGGAAAAGTCTGATCTTGTCCAGGATAACTGCAAGGTGTGTGAGGTTAGCTGCAGACTTGGGGACGCTCAGGCTTGGGAAAGGGAAGGTGTAGAGCTTTACATAGAAACATCACATCAGTGGGGTCTAGGTATTATCTTTTTTAAAAAAGGATTTATTATTATTATTGGAAAGTCAGACTTACTGAGAGAAGGAGAAACAGGGAGAAAAATCTTCAATCTGCTGCTTCACTCCCCAAGTGACTGCAAAGGCTGGAGCTGAGCTGATCTGAAGCCAGGAACCAGCAACCTCTTCCAGGTCTCCTATGCGAATGCAGGGTCCCAAACCTTGAGCCATCCTTTACTGTTTTCCCAGGCCACAATCAGGGAGCTGGTTGGAAAGTGGAGCAGCCGGGACACAAACCAGCACCCATGTGGGATCTCACCGAATGCAAGGTAAGGACTTTAGCCACTAGGGTAAGTGCTGGGCACTAGTTATTATCCTTAATGGCTTCTAAGTATCCCAACGATGGCTCATTTTGGGTGGTAGAACACCAAGATTCTTAGCAAACGAATGTTTCAGATTTCCTAGTTGGAGTTTAAAGCATGAAAACTGAAAAAAAAAAAAAAAAAGGAAATGGATGGGAAAAAAACTGCAAGGGAGAGGAAAAAAAGGCAGTGAGGAAGTAGGGCACTGAAATCTAAAGTGAAAAAAAAGTAAGTATGGGGGTCAACTGGCTGTGCGAGTTGTATAAAATATTCTGTCTGATTCTGTTCAACAGAAAATAGTGAGATCAATGAAGTCATCATTGAGGTCTGGTGCAGGTGCATAATCTGATTCAGATTCTGTTGTTCAGCCTAGCTCCCCCTGGGCCAGCCCTATTGTTATAATAGTTATGAAGGGACATCAGTGCACCTTGGATATAGGCAAAGTAAACGACCAGACTACGGCAAGTGTTTGAATGTATCATGCTGAGCCTGTACAATGATGGCGGTCCCCTTTCTACTTTCTGCTTATCAAAACAGAAATGTGAATCCTGGTCATCCCTTCTGCCTCCGGGGATCTTGTGAGAAGCATTACTAAGAAACAATTGGCAAGCACATTGTGAATGTGGGTGCTATGGAGATGCAACTATACAAAAATAATAACAACTTTAATGATAGCTTCAGCCACTTGGGAACCAGTGTAGTTATCATTGTAATGACTTAGTTTCCTGAAGAAAATAGAGTTCTTATTAAAATGTTGGTTTGAAAACTTCAACCAGAAGGAAATTTTCAGCCATTAAAATCTGAAGATATTTGGGTTCTTCTCGGAGCAATACATAATATCTCTTTGGTAATTCAGGAAAGCACCCTTGGTTCTACAGTCTGTGGCAACACCCATCCTGGCCCTATCTTCACTCCTCTATTATAGCGAATTCCTCAAATGTGGTTGTTGAATTTCTCAAGGAGAGTTTCGTTGAGAAATAGCAACTTTGCCTTCTCATGATCTTCTTGGAAACTGGTTTTTATGGGAAACACAGAGTGAATGAGAATCAGAGTGAGAGGTCCTTGCATTTTTGGAGGGAACCTATCTTTCTGTTAGTGTGAACAAAGGTTGATCAGATCACCTCTTCTATGGAAGGGAGGGAGAAATGAGATGAGTAGGATTCTGCTGCATCATGGCATATGTGTGTTGGGGAAGCTGTCCTGTGAAAAGAATTTCTGGTGTCTTCCTGCAACTATCTTTTAAGTCTGTGGAGGTCCCTATCCTGAGGGACTGGTGCTGTGGTTCAGTGGGCAAAGAAGCCACTTGCAATGCTGGCATTACATATCAGAGTGCTGGTTTGAATCCTAGCTGCTCCATTTCCAATACAGCTTCCTATAAATGTGCCTGGAAAGGCAGCAGAAGATGATCCAAGTGCTTGGACTCTTACCACCCATGTGAGATAAAAGGTTGGAGTTCCTATCTCCTAGGTTTGGTTTGTTCAAGACCTGGCTGTTAGAGCCATTTGGAAAGTGAATTAGAGAACCAGAAAATAGAAAATTTTCTGTCTTCCTCCTTCCCTCTCTCTGTTTCTTTGCCTTTCAAATAAATAAATATCCAGAAGACACCCCCATATAATACCACCTACAAAGAAATTATTGTGAACTTATTCTGTGCCAAGGATTTTGTCATGCATTATCGTTCTTTCATGTGATTCGTAAAGTTCAGTATGCAAAAAGAGATACGTAGGTATGTTGGTCAACTGACAGGATTTAAAAGTTTGAAGGTTATGGGTCCAAAGAATCATGGTGATGCTTTTCACGTGAAAAATTGCTCAAAGCCCATGAAGAGCTCTCACCTATACTATCTCACTGGCTCCTCAATGAACCTACCTTCTCCTTCATAGCTGAAGCCCCCTGGAGAAGTTAAAATGACTAACCAACACCACAAAACTGGTAGAGCCAGCATTTGAACTAAGGTTTCTGATCACAAGCCCAGTCTTGTCTTTCTCTTGCATGTAAATGCTTGAGTCTGTTATCACCAACGCTATATGACATAGATAAAGCAGTTCATACACAACGTCTTCCCTTGCTCAAACACCCTATTCAGTGATTCTAGGATCCTTGTAAAAAAGGAAAGAAAATTCTTTAGGTATTTGCCCTCTTTCTCTTGCTGTCTTTCAGTGAAATCGCACTGTAGTCTGATATACAGAAACAGGGTGAGAGTGACATGTAATTGAAGACATGTTCATCAGTGGAGTCTGGATGTAAACTTCACTTATAACTTGCCATTGCACATGAAGATATGAAGTATATGCAGATACCATTGGAACCAGCTTTAAAATTGTTCACTGTTTTTGGCAGTGACAGCATCACTTGAATGAACACAACACTTCTTAGTGAGTTTTTAAAAAAAATATGTGTTCACAGTCAGCTCTATGTATATGTGGGTTCTGCACACCAAATTTTAAAAACTGGCTCAAAAATAATCAGAAAAAAGTAGGGGCTGGCACATTGCTTTAGTTCGCTAATCCTCTACCTCCACAGGAAGGCATCCGATACGGATGCTAGTTTGTGTCCTGGCTCCTCTACTTCCCATCCAGCATCCTGATTGTGGCCTGGGAAATCAGTAAAGGATGTCCCAAGTCCTTGGGACCCTTTGCCTGCATGGAAGACCTGGAAGAAGCTTCTGGCTCCTGGTTTAATATCGGCTCAGTTCCTGCCACTGCTGTCATTTGGAGAGTGAACCAGAGGATGGAAGGTATTTCTGTCTGTCTCTACTTCTCTCTGTAAATCTACCTTTCCAATGAAAATAAATAAATCTTTTAAAAAGAAAGAAGTAATCACATCTGTCCCGAATGTGTGCAGACACATTTTCTTCACAGGGTAACAACAATTTATATTTTATTAGGTGTAAATAATCAAGAGAGATGATTTGGAGTATATGAGAGGATGTGTATGGGTTATGAGCTATTGCTAGAGACTGGGGCATCCACAGATTTTGGTATCTATGGGGGGATCCTGGAACCAATTCTTGCTAAGGGCCATGCATACATTTCTCTTCAGGTGGCATAAAAGCTCTCAGAGAAAGAACACATGCATAAACTATTACATATAGAGTCAATTAATGACCGATTTACTCGTAACCTGCCTTACAATTCCATGACTTTGAGGGAGCACCAGGAAAGAACTTTCCATAGTAGTCTGTCACGTCTCTGATGTTACAACATAGTATCTCATTTCATCTTCTTGTCAAACCTGAGGGGTAGGTA